GGCAAGGGAACAAGGGGGATTTGAGGAGATTTGTGGGGATGCGAGGGCAGGGGAACAAGGGGGGGATTTGAGGAGAGTTGTGGCAGGGGGTCGGGGGGGTCAGGGTGTGGTGGCTGAGAGCTTTCTGAACTGAGGAGGAATTATCTTATTGATAGAATTTATGTATTTAGAGCTGGGAAGAAATGGACATTTCAGAGACAGTAGAAGCATAGAGTTGATGGCTTTGATGGTGATAGGATTCAAGTACATTAATCAGGGCCGCCCAGAGGGGGGGTCAAGTGGGGCAATTTGCCCCAGGCCCCGGGCCCCACAGGGGCCCCCACGAGAATATAGTATTCTATCGTATTGCAACTTTTTTTTATAGAAGGGGCCCCCAAAATTGCTTTGCCCCAGGCCCCCTGAATCCTCTGGGCGGCCCTGATATTAATCAAATATTCTAATCAGTTAATTACATAATTTGCGTGGCATCTCCAGATGTGCTGACATGCTTACTGGGTGCGTGCCAGGCAGTGCTGCAGGGCTGGGAGTCAGGAGCTCTGGGCTCTGGCGGAGGGTGTGAACTAGTCGGGAGAGAAGTGGCTACAGAGAATAGTCCAGCACATAGGTTTGGCATATTCATTCTAAAAGGCAGTGTGTCTGAGGGCCTGTCTACATGGGCCACAGTCCAGATTACAGGGGTGCAAATTGCAGAGGGCACTGAAATGTTGCACTCTGCCCTATGCTGGTGTGAGCTAAAAGGTACCTAATCCGCATTAACGTCGTCCGTTCTGGAACAGGATTACATCAGTGCACGCTGGGCACTTCTTAGTTTGTACCAGCAGGGTCTACGTGGGGCAGTTAGAACGCAACATTTTGATGCGCTCTGCAGTTCACATCCCCGTAGTCTGCCCTGCAGCGCCGTGTAGACAGGCCCCGAGTCGGGGGGGCTGCTGTATTAGAGACCTAGGTTCTGTTCCCAACTCTGCTTGAAGTGACCTTGTGCAAACTCAGCAATCATAGCTGTAAAATGAGGGGAACGATTGTTATCTCCCCTCGGGTTAAGGTCAGGGGCACCGGAATGGGGCGGGCTATGCCTCCCCTCCACTTTAAAAAGCCCTTTTAATAGTCCTCTCACTTTTTACCGGTGTAAGGACAAGGACGCAGGGAGGGGGCAGGGTTTTGGGAGGAAGAAGCGGTGCGGGGGCAGGGCTGGGGGAAGGGGAAACCCCCTCCGCTGTTAGGAAGCTTCGGCCATCTCTGATTAAGGTTGTGAGTCCTTGGTCAATAAAAGCTCTGAACACACAGAAATTATTAACAGCAGTCAATGGAGACTTGACCTCCTAGCCTTCCGGCTCTTAGCCCGTGGCCCCTCCCCTTAGGCTACAGGCTCCTCTGTAAAGTAGCTTCTCTTTCTGTGAGCTCTCCAGTGGTTCATTCCTCCCCTCCTGGAGGCATAGCTAAGAGCAGGTTTTCTCAAACTGGGGGTCGGGCCCCCTCAGGGAGTCAAGAGGTTATTACATGGGGGTTGTGAGCTGTCAGCCTCCAGCCCAAACCCTGCTTTGCCTCCAACATTTATAATGGTGTTAAATATATTAAAAAGTGATTTTAATTTATAAGGTGGGTTGCAATCAGAGACTTGCTATATGAAAGGTGTCACCAGTACAAAAGTTTGAGAACCACTGGCTAAGAGCTTTGTAGCAACTGGTTTTGGCGGCTTGTTCGTTGTGCTGCATTTCTGTTTTGCCTGTTCTGAGAAAGGTGATGTTTGACAAACAGGGAGTTCCAGGGGAGCTCTGTCTCTCGGGAACCCTTGGACCAAATGACTCCAAATTTGTCACAGATTCTACCCTTGCCCATGAGCTGCCGTTAGGGTTGGCACCCATTCAGGTTTTACCTGACAGTCTGGTTTTTGGCTTCTGTGTCCGGGTGCCATATTAGGGTTGTCAGGTGCCCGGTTTTCGACTGGAAAGTCCGGTCGAGAAAAGGGGACCTGGCAGTGTCTGGTCAGATGTACTGACCGGACACCAACAGTCCAGTTACCATGGGGCAGGGGGCGGCGTTGGGTCATTAACCTGTGCCAACTCCTGCTCAGCTGGGGCTGCCTCCTACCTGCAGGCAAGCTCCCTGTCAGGCTGCAGCAGCTCCTGTCCCAGCCCCGAAGCAGAAGGAGCCTAGCTGGGGTGGGAGGTGGCGATGATCCAGCAAACGACAGGGGAGAGGAGGGAGAGACAGGCGCAGGGCCTTGGGGAATGAGGCAGAGAAGGGGGTGGGGCCATGAGGGATGAGGTGGAGCAAGGATGGGGCCTTGTGGGGAATGGGCGGGGCAGAGGCAGGGCCTCAGGGGTCCAGTTACCAGGAATTAGAAAGGTGGCAACCCTAGCTGGCATGCCAGTTTTCAAGCTGATCTCACTGTTCGTCTGGATTTCAGAGTGGTTTGATAATTAGTTTTAAATCAAAACCTTGTCGCAACCATCCTTAACTGTGTCCCCCACCATCGTCGCGTCAGAGCGCCTTTTCTCACCACGACTTCAAGGCTACTTAGCCTGGAATCTCCACCTTTGCTTTAAACCATTGTGGAAAGTGGAAGGTTTGGTGCTCCGTGCAGCTCTGACTAGGGGAATGGGGTGGTATGAAGCGAGATGAGTGCAGGGGCTGGGTTGGGCGGTCCTGCAGACCAGGAGAAGTTCAGTGGGGATTGGAGACAGCACAGAGAAGCGGGTGGGCACCGTCCCAGCTCAAGGCAAGGAGAGATGGTTTTAAGTGAGAGTGAGCAGGCAGTTGTAGACAACTGAGGTGCAGAATAAACAAAGGCAGAATGGGTGGTTCCCCCATCGCCGCCACCACCACTTCTGCCACTTCTCACCCAGGTCAGGATTGTTCCCAACAGCTGTTGGATCCTCCTGGCAGCCATCACTCACAGTTTCCCACAACACCCAGGAGTAGTCCCCTCCCCTTGAGAGCTCAGATGGGGTGTGGATGCAGAGTAGGTCCCCTCCTCTCTCTCCACTGGGGCAGGGTGTTGGGGGTGGGGGGGATTCAGCTCCTGATTTTTCGATCTCCCCAGCAGCTCTCTGGGCTAATCCCCACCTTGGCTGATCTCCCTTCCCCCTCGGTGCAGGGACTGACTTGTGTCTGGGTTCTCCAGCAGGTGACGGGGCGCCAAGTGACAATGAGGAGGCGACACCCCCCCAGGAAGGCTCTGAGAAGGCGGAGTCACCCGAGGCCTTGCCAGGAAAAACCGAGGGCCCCGATCAGGGTAAAGCCAGCGGGAGCCAGTGCCGGTCGGAAGGGCAGCCACCGCAGCAGAAGAGCCCCACGCCGGGGAAGCAAGAGGGCAAAGCCACTCGCCGCACCAGCCTCAAGAAGGGGAAAGAGCCCCCACTGTCGCAGCAGCAGCGGGGGGCAGGCGTCTGCACCGAGTGTGGGAAGGACTACGGCTGTGGGCGGGCAGCGCAGCGGGTGCAGACACCGGAGAAGCCGCACCAGTGCGGGGAGTGTGGGCGCTGCTTCCGCCAGCGCTCCATCCTGGCCAAGCACCAGAAGATCCACACGGGGGAGAAGCCGTACCGCTGTGACGACTGTGGCAAGTGCTTTAGCCGCGGCTCCAACCTGACACAGCACCAGCGCATCCACACCGGCGAGCGCCCCTTCCATTGCGGCGACTGCGGCAAGAGCTTCATCCAGAAGTCGGACCTGGAGCGGCACCAGCGTGTCCACACCGGCGAGCGCCCCTATCAGTGCGGCCAGTGTGGCAAGTGCTTCAGTGTCAGTTCCCACCTGGACCGGCACCGGCGCACCCACCTGGGGGAACAGCGCCGCCACCATGCCTGCGGAGGAAGCAAGGGCTGCGGCGGCGGCCCGGCAGCCCGTCACCGGGCCTGCCAGGCTGAGGATGAGGATGAGGAGGAGGCGGTGGCTGCCCACCAGTGTCCCGAGTGCGGGAAGTGCTTTGCCCAGCGGGCCTCACTCTCCAAGCACCGCAAGACCCACAGCGGCGAGCGGCCCTACCAGTGTGGTGACTGCGGCAAGCGCTTCAGCCGCAGCTCCAACCTGACCCAGCACCAGCGCATCCACACCGGCGAGCGCCCCTTCCAGTGTGGCGACTGCGGCAAGCGCTTCATCCAGCGCTCCGACCTCGAGCGGCACCAGCGTGTCCACACCGGTGAGCGGCCTTACACCTGCCCCGACTGCGGCAAGAGTTTCAGCGTCAGTTCCCACCTGGACCGCCACCAGAAGATCCATGCTGCTGAGCAGGCCTCCTACCGCTGCCCCGAGCACCTCAAGGGCTTCCTGGCCGCCCACCAGCACGGCAAGCTCTTCAAGTGCTCTGACTGTGGACGCTGCTTCAGCCAGAGCGCGGCGCTGATCAAGCACCAGCGGGTGCACGCCAGCGAGAGGCCTCACCAGTGCACGGACTGCGGGAAGAGCTATGTGGCCTGCGGCGCTGGCCCCAAGGCCCAGGCGGCGGCCGGAGGGAAGCCCCACAAATGCACCGACTGCGGAAAGAGCCTGGGCGGCATCTCGCCCCCCGTGCTGCACCCCAGGCTGCGCGCCCAGCAGTGCATGGACTGCGGGAAGAGCCTGGCAGCAGGGAAGCCCCTGCCACCACCGGCGGAGAAGCCATTCAAGTGCACGGACTGTGGGAAGGGCTTCGGGCAGCGCTCAGCCCTGGTGAAACACCAGCGGATCCACACGGGTGAGAAGCCCTACACCTGCCCTGACTGCGGCAAGGGCTTCATCCAGAAGTCGGACCTGACCATCCACCGGCGCATGCACACTGGGGAGAAGCCCTACCGCTGCCCCGAGTGCGGGAAGTGCTTCAGCGTCAGCTCCAACCTCATCACCCACCAGCGCACTCACCTGGGCGAGAAGCCCTACCAGTGCTCTGAGTGCGGCAAGAGCTTCATCCAGCGCTCAGAGCTCACCATCCACCAGCGCGTGCACACCGGCGAGAAGCCCTACAAGTGCCCCGAGTGCGGGAAGTGTTTCAGCCGTAGCTCCCACCTCAACCGGCACCAGCGCACCCACACCGGCGACAAGCCCTCGCTGCTCTCTGCCACCAAGAACTCCGTCACTGCCACCAGCAACCCCCTGCAGGCCTCCTCCGCCTTCTCCTCTGCCTCCTTCTCCTCCCCGCTGGGCACATCCTCTGCCCCCCTCCCCACCCTACCCTCTTTCCCTTCCTCACCCTCACCCATCTCCATCCCTGCCCTCTCCAATAACCCACTGGATCTGCCCTGGGCCCTGTCCTTCCCATCCCGTGCCTTCCCTCACCCTTCCTTCCCCTCGCCTGCTCCGTCCGGGACCCCGGCCTCATCACTGATAAACTAACCGCCCCCCGCAGCCTCTCTGTTCCCCCTCGCTCCCCCTAATTCTTGCCTGCCTCCCTCCTTACTCCCCATGAATCTTGCCTCTCCCCCTCCAATCTCCCACTGGGCACCACATAATCTCAACTCTCCCCCCACGGTACCCCATGAATCTCGCTTTTCTCTCCAACACCCCCCCTGTCTCCCCACTCCCCCCCTCCCCCCCCCCCCAATCCCCACCAGCACTGCCAAATCTCTTGCAGTTTCATGGTGAGTCTCGTGATATTTGGCATTTTCCCTAAAGCCTCAGTTCCTGGAGCTAGGGGATTTTCATGAGAATCTCAGCTTTGAAAATTTCTCATCCTCCTGGTTGCAGGGAAAGGCAGGAAAACATGATCCCTGGTGGCTCAGACACCAGAAGGCAAATAATCCCAACGCTGAATTTAGTATTTTTAATATTCTGATTGTTTTGGGGCCTGCGAAGGCATGGGACTGGTGATACTGCAATGGGGCCGTGGCTATGAAGCTGGTCTTGTCTTTCTCCTTTCCCCAGTCCTTCTCTTCCTTCGGCATTCACGCCATCCACCTCCTCTCTCCTTACCATCCTTTTGGCCTTTCCCCCGGACACTCCTGATTCCTCCACTTCTCCCTTCCGTGTCCCCAATGCCTGTACCAGTGGCCCCTCTGATTCTGCCGCACGACATCCTCATTCAGCCCTGCAGCACTGGACCAGTTCCCCTTCCTGGCTCGTTACCAGCTTTGGCCCCTCTCTGGGCAAGGCGGTTGCTGAGCCCTCTCCATCTCTGATCCTCTCTGTCTTCACGCTGTGTGATCCCCACAGGGATCACGGTGCTGTTGTAAAAGGAATCTTAGGAGGCCCAGGCCAGAATGGAAAGGCAGATAGGCCGAGACTGGAAGCATCCTGTGCTGAGAGCAGCAGCAAAGTCCCATGCTCCTCCGGTGAGTGGAATGAACAGTTCAGTCCCTACCCTGCAGAGTTCAAGTGTCCAGAGACACAACAGCCTAGCAAGCCAAGCCTCTGACTGCGTGGGCTACTGGAGGGCTGGCATCTCCATACCTGTAGCCAAGCATAGGTTGGTGGGGGAAGGTTAGAGTTAGAGCTGGTCAACAATTGTCACATTCTGATGAAAAATTATGTTGACCTCTTGAATTTTGATGGAAAAGAGAAGAAATTAATTTTCCAACATTGTGAATTCCCCCCCCCCCTTTTTATTTCCCCCTTTCTTTTTGAACATCTCTAGAGCATGGCCAACATTGTCTGGACTTTCAAAACTTCTGTGCAAATTTTAGAATTTTGAAATTTTGAAAACTGGACCTGACATTTTTATTTTTATTTTTTTGCTTTCCCTCCCCTTCCACCCTGTTTTTCAACTGCCTCTAGTTAGGATCATCACTGAAAAGCTAGGTAACAGTTATCACTCAAACTAATTTCATTTGGCTCGTCCCGTATTTCTGCTTCCGTCTTGGATTAATTACTATCTCTGACTGCTCTTGCAACTCTGTTTTCCAAGTCTGTTTCGATTTTCCTTTTTTTAAATTTTTGTAACCTTGTAAATAGACCGGTGATAGTTTTAGATTCTGTAAATATTTTTTTAAAATCTATTTTCCTGTTACTCGTAGAGGAGAATGCTGTGTTTTAAACACCTGCTGTACTGTAATGAAGAAGGAGGGAGTCTGGGAGGACTGATCCGGACTTAGCCACCCTCCCAGCACACTACTTGATACCCAAAGTGAGATTCCCCTTCAGCCCCAGACCATTTAAGAAACTAAAGAGTCAGTGTGGTAGCAGGTAGCAGCAAATACTTGAGGCTACTTAAATCCATATTTAGACTGGTGTATCCAAACGCCAAGTGTCCAGCATATCCCAAATCACCCTTGCATTTTGCAACTGCTGTCATGTATTCTCACATCCCAGCTGGAATTTCATGCACCCCCCCTCCCTGCCCCCCAAGTGTTTGCCTTCAGCTCCCTCTTTCTGCCACAGGTGAGCAGGCAAGGCGCCTCCCTGGCTTGCCTTTCGCTGCCCCCTGGCACTAGATCCCAGCAGGGAAGAAACGCATGGGAAAAGCAGAAGGCAGCAGCAGTGTGCCCAGCTGGCAGGGATGGAATATGAGGAGATTCAGTACAAGCCACATGATCCCCTGGCTGCCTCCCAGACAGCAGCCCTGACACTTCAGCATCCATCCCCCCCAGCATTTTCAGCACCCTTCAGACAGCACCAAGACGCTCTCTCCACACTCAACAACCCACCCATCTCCCTGCAGCTTTCCAAGGTTTGTGCAGCCCCATGTCCTGCCCCATCATTGCTGGGGGCACGGCAGTGTTAGAAGATAAGAACATAAGAACGGCCATACTGCGTCAGACCAATCGTCCATCTAGCCCAGTATCCTGTCTTCCAACAGTGGCCAATGCCAGGTGCCCCAGAGGGAATGAACAGAACAGGTAATCATCAAATGATCCAACCCCTGGATCATTTGCCCCAGCTTCCGGCAAACAGAATCTAGGGACACCATCCCTGTCCATCCTGGCCAATAGCCATTGATGGACCTATCTTCCATGAATTTATTTAGTTCTTTTTTTGAACCCTGTTATAGTCTTGGCTTTCACAACATCCTCTGGCAAAGAGTTCCACAGATTGACTGTGCGTTGTGTGAAAAAATACTTCCTTTTGTTTGTTTTAAACCTGCTGCCTATTTATTTCATTTGGTGACCCCTAGTGCTTGTGTTATGAGAAGAAGTAAATAACACTTCCTTATTGACTTTCTCCACACAAGTCATGATTTTATAGACCTCTATCATATTCCCTCTTAGTCGTCTCTTTTCCAAGCTGAAAAGTCCCAGTCTTATTAATCTCTCCTTATATGGAAGCCGTTCCATACCCCTAATCATTTTTGTTGCCCTTTTCTGAATCTTTTCCAATTCCAATATATCTTTTTTGAGATGAGGCAACCACATCTGCACGCAGTATTCAAGATCTGGGCGTATCATGTATTATATAGAGGCAATATATTTTCTGTCTTATTATCTATCCTTTTTTAATGATTCCCAATATTCTGTTCGCCAGAACCTGCAGTTTATGATGACATGCAAAGTGGTTGCAAGCATGCAGATTAACTTATAAAATCATTAGAGAGCCAAGGTGGGGGAGGTAATATCTTTTATTGGACCAACTTCTCTTGGTGAGAGAAACACGCTTATAAGCTACATAGAGCTCTTCTTCAGATCTGGGAAACTTAGACCTGGTCTACACTGCAGAATTATTTGATATAACTACATCAATCAGGGGTGTGAATGATCCACACCCCTAAGCGACATAGTTGTACTGGCCAGACAATCACTTCGTTCTCGAATGAACTCTCATAGAAAAATGATAAAAGACAAAAACACTATCACCAGTGTGTGAACACTTGTCACAAAGTAATCCCCCCATATCTGACCTGCTGAACACCTTCAAAACATGAGCCTGGGAGTTTAAATTCATAACTTTGCTAGACACTTAAAATCATGGTCTTAATAAAGACACTGGATTTATGACTTCTTATATTTATGTAACTGTAGCGGGGTGGCTACCCCGCTCCTGCCTGAGGGGTTTAAAACAGCCCTAGCAGAGGGCTGGGGCAAAGGGGAAAAGCTACTGGGCTGATTGGGGAAGTAGCCACAGCTGGGCCACGCCCCAATCAGGCCCCAGCTGGCCCTGCCTGTATAAGGAGGCTCAGAGCCAGGAGCCCAAACAGTCTCTCTCTGCCTTCAGAGAGAGAAGGGCCTGGCGGCAGGGAGCTAGACAGGGTACCTATAGTGGAGCAGGGCTGGGGAAAGGCTGGGGAGCTCTAGCCTGGAAAGCCCTAGGCTGCGGCCTAGTATCAGGCCAAGGGGTACTGGCGGTTGCAGAAAGCAGCTCAGGGCTAGTCCAAGGCAGCAGGTCCAAACTCAACCTTACCTGTGATGAGTGGCCTATACTGCAGTCTGCCCCAGGGAGCGGGGGCTAGTTGGTGACTGGCAGTGGCCTTATTCTGAGGTGAGGTAGGGATAGTGGGTGGGGGTTCCCCAGGGAGGGGAAACCCTAGTACTGAGGGGGGTACTGCCAGGGGGCAGCACCCCAGATACAAGGGCACCGGGGTCCAGGAGGGACACGGGGCCAGAAGACAGGTTGATCACCAGCCTGCAGGGGGCGCTCCAGAACGCTGGAAGAGCTAATTCCCGAGATGACCAGCAGGAGGCGCCGCAGGGGTGAGTCCAGACCGTCTACAGTAACCCACTAACCCCCTTTTTGTTCTGTGACTACAAGGGTGTTAGTCACACTTTGCCTTGAATGGTCCCTTAGAATAAGGACTTAGTACTTACGCTGAACTATCTTTTCGATCTTGTATTTAGCTGTGACACTCTGAGCCCTGGTCTACACCACAGAATTACTTCGGAATAACTACATCGCTCACACCCCAAGTGGTGTTATACTGACCTAAGTGCCAATGTAGACAGTGCTATGTTGGCGTCGCGGATTAACTGTGCCACTGAGAGAGTTCTCTCCTGTCAGCGTAGAACATCTTCATTGAAGCACTACAGCTGTGCCGATGCAGAGTTTTAAGTGTAGACTTAAAACTGAGTACCTTTCACACACCTGAAGGAGAGCTCCATATCGCTCGAAAGCTTGTCTCGCTCCCCAGCAGAAGTTTGTCCAATAAAAGATATTACCTCACCCACCTTGTCTTTCTAACATCCTGGGACCGACACGGCTACAACAACACTGCATACATCATTACATCTTTGGAAAACTCCAGCCTACATGAGTGGCCTAATTTTTCAAAGGGGCTGTGCTCCTGGCCCATGACTGGGGCCCCAAGTATTACACCCATGATAGTAATAAATGAAATACTGCTACTTCTCCTTGACACTGATAGTCTTTATGGCTGCCCAGTGCCCCTGAGAACCAGGCAGATTTCATTTAGATGCCTTCATATGGCTATAGGGACCAAATCCTTAGCTGGTGTACATTAGTGTTGTGTCATT